GTAAATGTCCTAAGCATCAATCAAAGTTCGTACTGTTTGGTTGTGATTGATGATTTCTCTCGTTTTACGTGGGTTTTCCTCTTATCTGTCACACCCCAAAACCAAGAACGGCGGAAACGTTCGGGGGCGGAGGACGTCATGTACAGTATCACAACAATGAAAAGTAGTAAACAAGCAACAACATCATCCATTGCATTAATAATATAATTATTATACAATTGTGTTCTGTCAAATTTTGATAAACACTAAAGCATAAATCAAAATGAAAGATGCGACTTGGTCGAGCACCATCTTCTTGAACCTTGCATCGGTACCTGTCTATGATGACCTGAGGATACAAGTAATTTTAAAAGCGAGTATCAGCTTTGAAGCTGGTGAGATCATAAGTATTTTAGTGTCTTAATTTGTATGTAAGAATTTGTAAGTTTATGAACCGTAAGTATAATAATGTTTGTAAAACAACTGTAAACGTTTGAAAAACTCTAGAAATCCCTACGATTCCTACTATTATATAAGGGTGTCTTCTACCACGACCTAACTGTTCTCAATGTAGTCTTCTACCAAGACTTAACTGTTCTAAATGTTCGTTTTATGTAAAAGTGTGTAATTTTCCCAAGTGTAACTATCTTTAACAAAATATAGATCTTACATTTATAGTTTAAGTGAATAGATCACTAAATATATGTACAGGGAAAATTAATGTAGTACTAAAATGTAGCGCTATAAGAACTACTGCTGTACTAACTACCTTAAACCGGATTTATATTAAGATATTATGTGATTAATTGCACCATACTATTGACTGGTAATAACGACATACGAATGGTCATAAAACGGAACGACGTTTGGCACCCGCAGACCTACAGGTCCGGCTGTATCTAGCAGCAAGGTGGAGGATAGTCAATCCAGTATAGATCTATACGCAAACTCACGCTTTCCCTCCAAGAGAATTCTGGCTACAACTCGGGCCATGACATTTAAGGCATGCTCCGATACAGTGGATCACAATTGTTAACGTATTCATGTATATGTAATGTAATGTTACTTGTTCTAGGATCGTTATATATGTTCTCTTCCTAGTATAGTTGTATATCTATGTTCTCATAGTAGTAAGTATTTACTCATGAATGAACTGACTCATAGTCTGATATTGTGTTCTAGTAATAGTTCTAGTATCTTCCTAAACTACCCATATGGTAGTTTACTAGTAATTTAACTGGTACATATGAACATGGATGTATACCCTTGCTACCCAAGGGCATTGGATGAACTAGAAGGACCTTTATTACTATATGTGTACATATGTTATATAACTAATATTTAAACGACCTTCGGATGATCCGATATCCCACTAGACCACATCTCAAGCGCGAAAAGGAAATATGGTGGATAGCATTCCTAAGTCTTTTAAACATATGTTATATAACTATACATATAGAGGCATGCAATTTATAATAGAAAAGCATATATAAGTTTTGTAAAACCTTTGAACATAATTATTATCTTAAGAAAAGATCGACTTGATGTCAATCTATAAAACGGTTTGAAGGCATGGGTTTGATAAAACAATTTAGTATAAGGAAACATTTGTTTGAATCACAATTGTAAATAAGTTTGAAATAAAACATACAGAGTAAAATGTACAGTATAATAAAAGTTTTAAAAATATAAAATGTTTATAAAAATCATTTGAAGGAAACTGTTCAGTAAAACGGCTAATGAATAGCCAATCGTCGAGGGTTTTTCTCCAAAAAATCGAGATTGGCGGCAAATTTGCCGCCCTGTTTTTTATAATAAATATAAATACACCTTTTTAATAGGAACTGTAGTCTATATGACATGTGACTAAGGCACTAAGCATATACGGTTGATTATATAAAAGAGCATCTGATAATGAAATACCGAATTCATTAAAACCGTATTATATATAGAGTATTCTATTTGCCACATTGTAGTAGTGATGGATTTCTCAAGGGATTTCTATATTTTAATCTGGATGTGTAAGTATTAACTCTTAGTATTCTTATAAAGTTTTTATATGTAATTGCATTATAAATAGGTGAGTTGTCGAGCTGAGCTTGGCACGCCTAGGGCTCGGCCGAGTGCTAGCCTCAGTGTTTGCTGAGCCAGCTGAGGTGTTTACCGAAGCCACCCCGAGTGGCCTAAAGAGGTAGATTTGATATTTTTCATGTCGACTTTCGAAACCAAACTTTTGTTATCAAAAGCATTTATTCCATATTAATTGACGTGTCTTTTAGTTCCATTCAAAAAATTTACTGTAGTAAGTACATATACATTGATTAGACAGGAGCCAAAGGCAACCGTTGGAGTTGAAAACAAAATGCATTCATATTTTACTTGCAGTGGAGCCACCCAATTATTTACCTAAGTTCGTCTAAGTAAATTTATAATTAACTATTTGTAACTAATTCTTTTGAAAAACAATTAAGTTTCGATCAATAAAAATAATTTAATAAATGAGAATGATGTCTATATAGTAAAATTAAGTGTCTTTTTAACAGACTTTTTTTTGTTGAACACTAAAGATTTTATTAGAGAAAACAAAAGGAGCTGCTGACTATTAAAATATTTACTACAAACATTATATCATTAAAATAATCACCTAATTTCTTTAATTTTGAAGTATTTAATACACATAAATTATTTACTATTCTTTATACCGCTTTGGACCCAATTATTTAACTAAGTTTTAAAAACGTGAATAATGCATGCATTTGTGGTGAGGACCGGAGAGTCGTTGTCTTCTTCTGGTGACGGCCGACATCTTTTATTTAGAGTTTTAATCTTTACCTGAGTTATAAAGAAAAAAATTGGAACTTGTTTCCAGTTTCAATATATATTACTTAATAAATTAGAGATTCAAAATTTTCTGGAAAAAAAGAAATATATAATAACAAAATTCATCTTTCTTTTATAGATATAAAAATATATATTTTTTTTTATTTCGATGCGGTTGTTGAAATGACCATGTAGGAAAAGAAGATAATTAGTGGACATAAATGAAAACTATTATCATGACAAAAAGTTCGTCAAAATGGCTCATTAATGCCCATTTAGTTGTGTTTTAATTAAAAAATATTGTAAAAAAAAATGATTTTAAGTTTATATATATATATATATATATATATATATATATATATATATATATATATATATATATATATATATATATATATATGTGTGTGTGTGTGTGTGTATGTGTGTGTGCGCGTGCGCGCGCGCATGCAAGTGACATCCCGTCTAGTTGGGTTGACACATCGGGTTTTATACTTACGTGGGATGTAAAATTGTGAGTTTGATTCCCTTAAACTACCTATTATGATGTCATATGTGGGGATTTTTTTTTCTGGAAATTCCTATGGGGGATTGATTTGCCCTATATGACTCGCAGTTGTGCAGCGAGAATCGGTGCGGGTGTCGTTCCCAAACATCGGAACATCACACCGTGATTGCGAGAACAATGATGTGGGAAATAGATAGGGGAGCCGGTTGTCGCAGTGTTCTAGAAGGCGCACCAAGGCGTGAGGTGTGGCTTCGCCGATACGAAAAGCCTCATAATCTTACTGTTAGGCGTGACGCGTTATGACGTGTTATGGCGCGTGTTTTTTCGTTTGAGACACGTTCTTTTCCTCTTTGTTATGTCTTTTCTAATTGGGGATACAACTATTGTGTTTTTTGTTAACTTTTTGTTATTAGTTATTGATATAACACTTCTAAAAAGTAGTTACATTTAATACAAATTTATATTTATGTGATAATATAATTATAAATTAATACAAAATCGCAGTCTTATATCACGTTTTGAAAAAATGCATGGCTTGTTGAGCTTAAAGTTTGGCTTTGCCGCCACGTCACGCCTTACGTCATTCAGAACCTTGGTTGACGGACTCTCTCCGATTCTTATTGGCCCTTTTTTTTTTTTTTTTTTTTTTGTAACAGTAATGTAATTTGTTGTGTGTGTGTATAATTTTCCCCCACCATAAATACCAACCCAACCCAACATTATTTTTAACCCATCTCTACATATTCTCTAAAAAAAACACTAAAACACAATGGCATCATCTTTGTCATCCGATTCAGCAGCTCAAGATGAGGCATTATTTGTTGGTTCCGTTATAGCGAAAACGGTTGCATCTTTTCAAAACCGACGAGCCGTAACTTCACGTCCACGAACTAAACCAAGAAAATCATCGTTGTGTAGAAATTGTGAAGACAGGCACAATCGTCTTATAGGAGACTAGTTTGTAGATGATGTCATGTACGCTGAAAAGTTTCGACGATGGTTCTGGATGAGGAATGAGCTATTCTTACGTATTGTTGCCGATTTGGAAGACCGTTTTTCATATTTCCAATGGAAGCTGGTTGGTAAATGCAAAAAAATTTCTCTCCAATTTAAAATGTACGGCCACAATTCGTCAGTTATCATACGACATGGGGGCAGACAAATGGGACGAGTATTTAAGGATGTTCGAGCGTACCGTACACGAATTTGTGTACAAGTTCTCCAAAGCTATTACATTGGTGTACGGGAAACGATATTTGCTTAAACCAACTATCAACGATGTCTATCAGTTATACATGGTGCATGAAGCCAAGCATGGGTTCCTAGGAATTTTAGGTTGTATCGATCGCATGCATTGGGATTGGGCGTTGTGCCCAAATACATGGCGTGGTCAGTATATGCCAGGCGACCACAGAGAGCTGAAAATTGTTCTAGAAGTAATCGCATCATATGATCTTTGGATATGACATGCATTCTTTGGTCCCGCTGGTGCAAATAACGACATCAATGTTCTGGACCAGTCACTGGTATTCAACGATATCTACCTTGGAAAGTATATATATATATATATATATATATATATATATATAGATATATATATATATATATATATCCTCTCGTATCTGTTTTTATGAAATCGTTTACATGTCCAAACGACGAAAAAAGAAAAAAGTTTAAAGAGGCGCAATAGTCAGCTATGAAGGATATGGAGCGAACATTTTGTGAACTTAAGAGGCATTGGCAAGTACTAGCATTCGGGGCACTGTCATATGAAGTCAAAAGGTTGCAACACATAATGTATGTGACCATCATATTACATAATATGATTCTTAAAGACGAAGGAATAGCGACATATCAATATTACGAAAATGAAGTATTGCCAAATGTCGAAGGAATAACTATTGGTACGCAAAAGTATTGGGCAAATAGAAAAGAAGTATATGATTGCGACATTCGTGACCCATTCGTGCTAATTTGGTGAAACACGTCTATAGGGCTCACATTCAGCCGTCGATAGAGTGTTGCCACGATTATTTGTTTGACGAACCAGATGAGGATTTAGATATGTTTGTCGAGAGCGAAGATTCGAATAACGATGACGAGAAAGATGTTAATGAGAATGATGATGACGATGACGATGATGACGATTCCGAGTGACGTATTTTCGTTTTTTTTAATTCGGATATTAATTATGATTTCTAAGTTGTGTTTTTTCTAATATTTGTTGTTTTCTAGTTTTTTTTTAATATTGTTATTTTAATGTGATTTTTAACTAATGAAGTGGTTTTTATTTTTATTTTAAAAAAAGTGAAGGAAACTTCCTACATACCCTGACGTTTGGTAAGGGAAAGAAAAGTAATGGAAAGGATAACGTGACAGGAAAAAAGTGAGGGAAGCTTCCTGTACACATCATCCGGCCTAAAGGAACTCAAACCCGGAGTGCTTGCTGAAATATTACGAGTAGTTTCGCTTAATTCGTTTGCCATATATATATATATATATATATATATATATATATATATATATATATATATATATATATATATATATATATATATATATATATATATATATATATAATATATATATATATATATATATATATATATATATATGAGAGAGAAAGTTATCATGGACTGAAATAGACAACATATGATCTTCATATATTGGATGTTATGAATGTTATTGTGTATGAACATGCATGTGAGCACATGTAAAACACAACCTGTTTTTTGTATTTTTGTATATTCAAGATGATGTCAATCAATGCTATTGTTGGACTATTGTGATGAATCAATCATTATACAAGTGATTAACATTCAAAATAATCACAAACTGTATATTCTTTTCCATCCGAACTGTTACTTAATACATAGATGTTACGTCATAAGCTGTGGTCTGATTCCTTAGTTGAAAACAAATTGTGTTCAGATTATTTTCTGAGCACCGACGTTGGAAAATGAAATATTGCTTAATTTACAAAAGGATATGTAAAAACTTTTATAATTTAAATGCAATTTAGTTCAAAATATTTTAACATCCATTCATGCCACACCGATTTTTTTTAAAAACGGAAAATATTATAATACAAATAAAAACCCGTGACTAGTAAGTAACTATTAAGGGTAGAAAAAAATGAACAACAAAAACAGAGTATAAAAAATATCAAATACAAAAATGCGATGATGATCACTCTTTCCATGAACAGATACCATCTTTAACCCTATATTTAACCCACATATATAGAAATGATTTGATTTGCACTACACAATACGAATGACTGATGAACACCTGTTTGAACTTCTGGTCATTACGATATTTCCATAGATTCCAAAATAGACCATAGCAGATGGTACGGAACCGAGCTTTCATTTTAGGACTCCTCCCCAATTTGCAGCAAATCTGAGTAGTTCGTCAATGCTATTGAATGACTGATTCTGTACGCCACACCAATTGAAGATTTTATCCCTCACAACTTTGGCAAACGGACACCGTACAAAAATATGATCTACATCTTCTTCTACAATTATCAATGCACCACATATAGTAGTTTGAGTATCAATACCTCTAGCTCTAAGACCCATGTAACATTCCGGGCTTTCAGGTATTTTCGAATCCTTCCCTTGGTAATTAAATATGTCATTTTGGTCCTTGAAATTACTTGGAATTAGCCCTAAGAAGCCCTAGTGGCAAATTGGTAATTTCTTGGGGGCTTAAGTTGTACGATGGGCGTACACGTGGTACGCTAAGCGTACTAGGGTTCGCCCTAGTATACTGGGTGTACATATATGTACGCTGGGTGTAAGTGTGTCCAGGTGAAAACTCTAACTTTTAAAGTTTGTGGAGTATTTAAGTGCCATTATGGATCTTTTGCCTCACTCTTTCAGCCTCCAAGTCCTTGAGTCGTTTTAAGTAAATCCTAGCCCCTATAAGTGAACATCTTGAGCTTAAAGTGTGGTATTTGTGTGCCGAATGGAGAAGAAAGTGCATCAAAGGAGTCAAGGAAGGAAAGCAAGCTTGTAGGTCTTGGATTATCATCTTTTTGAGAAGCTCCATAAGGTAAAAAGCTTCTACCTTTATGCTTGGATTGTTTATATCTTGTTTTGGTAGATTTATGGTGTTTTCTTGTCCCAAAAGCCCAATATTGTGCATGCTTTGTTTTGGACGTGTTTGGTTGTCCTTTCAGATCCCTAGGATGGGTCCTAAGACATAAAAATGAGGTCCCTTCTGCTATTTTGGTTCCTTGTTCTTTGTAGGAGGTCTTAATCGATTAAGACCAAGTATTATGAACTTTTTGGATGTCCAAAGTCTTAAAGTTTGAGGCTTTATCGTTCTAGAGTGTTTTTAAGTCATGGATCTGAAGTTTGAGCTCAAGTGATTAATCCATTAAGCACTTATGAAAGTTTTAAGCTCTACGAGGGAACGCCCCATGTAAGGCAGTGTACCCCTCACGTTCCGAGTCAACCACCCTGTAAGTGGTCAATGCGAGGTGATGTATGCCCAGCGTACGCCTTCCGTTTGGGTTTCGAACTTTGGGCTTTGGGTATTGGGCCATCTGTTGGGCTTTGATTCTTAGGCCCTAATGAATTATCGGGATAAGAGTGTTTTGGGTTGATTAGGATAAGGCCCAATAAGGAGTTGGGCCCAATTTGGAAAATTGGGCATATTATGGGCCTTGATGTAATCTGGGCCTTTTGGATCTAGATTCGGACTTGGGCCTGGGCCCAATTAGGAAAAGGGTACAATGGATATTTACCCTAAGTATGGATCTTATTCAAGAATGGTATTCCAATTTTTAATTGGATGCTTGTTTTCTGTGATAGTTCAGGATTTTTCTGTGAGTCAACAGTCGGAGGTTTCAGTTCAGTTTGACACTGTGAGATGAGTCTTCATCACTATACTTTTGGGTCGAAGGCACCAAGGCTGGCCCATTGGTTTGATAACTTGATGTTGTTGATATGCTGAGTATGGTATAGATATGCATGCTATGCTGGTAGATCTGTAGGACTACCTGTGATATTGTCTATTTATCTGTATATGATATTATCTGTTATATGTGGACATATTGTATGGGTTGGGTTGATGTTGTACAACTCCGTCTTGTAGCCAAAAAACCCTGGAGTATGTCAGATATGAGCTGAGGGCTAGGGAGGGCATGCCAACTCTAGATACGAGTTGAGGGCCGAGAAGGGAATGCTAGACTCATACCGAGGGCTTAGCGGTATTCAGTCCAAGGACTGACCAGGCCAGGGAGCAAGTCAGACATAAGCTGTCGGTTGAGGGCACGCTAGAATTATGTTGTGGGCTTAGTGGTAATCCATTTTGTTAAGCTGTGGACCTATTACATGTTATTGTGATTGTGCTATTTGTTATGTATCCGTATTTTAGGGGAACTCACTAAGCTTTGGGGTTACGGTTTGGATTATGTTTCAAGTACCTCAGAGGATCGTGAAAAGGCGAAGGCGTGATCATGCACCTCCTCATCTTTTGTTTTTATGATTTTGGGATTTCTCTGATGTGAAACTTACTTTGAAAACAATGTGTAAACAATGATGATTTTGGGTTTGGTTAAAAAGTTTAAAATTTTCAAGAATTTTATGAATGTTACAACCTACCATCAAAGCTATCCTCTATTAAATTTCTCGCGACAAGAAATAGTTGACCTTGATTCGGACTTCATTTCTCCATTTGATAGTGGGAGTATTTTGAGTTATTCCAGATTGACAATCAACTTTCCACATTATATCACATACTTTGAAAGCTCCATCTTTATCTAAGCAGGACTCCTGAGTGTCAGCTCCATTGACCAGCTGTATTGAAGATAGATCGTTCCAGAGGTTATTGAGCTTGTAAGTTAGGCCCACTTTGTGAGGACATGACCACTAATGACCTGCAAAAAACCTTTAAAAAATCTGTCAGCCACTGTGCACTTTTTCCTAGTATCAAGAGCACAGATAGAAGGATATTTGACTGTTAACACTGTCAAACCAATCCATTTGTCTATCAAGAATAAGGTATTGACACTAGATTTAACTTTTAGTTTGAATATATCATCGAGTTCAACCCTAATTTTTTGTAAGTCCTTTTTTGTCGCCACAATGTTGTTCCATACCCCATTGATTTTTCTATTAGCTATATTATGTGGTTTATCATTTAGATTATGGATACTTTTTATGACTCTGCCCCATAGTACGTCTCCTTCTAATTTCAAACGCCGCCACCACTTAACCATTAGGCCGATGTTTAATGCTCTGATTGACCCCACACCCACCCCACTCGCTGATTTTGGAGTAATGACTTCATGCCACACTGACTGTGTTTCAAAATGTTACAAGCTTTGTTTTATTGAGAGGTATCCATTAATACTCTTCCACTATCATCAAAATACATTAGTTACTTATTAGTTATTAAAATAAGACTAATATATCTCATCCAGTTCCAAAGAAAAAAAATCTAATAAATGTCAATACTAAAGCAAACAGAATTTGTGACAGATCCAAGATAGAAATCTTTAGTGGTGAAAAAAATGTCAATACTAAAGCAAACAGAATTTGTGACATTTTTCATCTCTAATTGTCTGCAAATTTATCAAAATCTGACTAATTAGAGGTAGATTCTGCAACGATATTATGTCACTATTATAACAACGGTTTTTTTGAACCATAGTGTACATGATATAGGGGTGGAAAATCGGGCTATCGTGTCATGTTTTTGCCTGACACAACATGACATGACTAGATTTTATGTAACAGAAACACGACACGACACAATATCGTATTTTGTTTAACAACACAAAAACGAACCCATTAAAAAACGATAAACACAACACAACATGGAAAAGATAATTTAATATAAGAATTAGTTTATTTAATTAATATTTAATCATTATAACATCGAAAACATAAAAAACACGACAAATGATGTACCATCGGGTCCGTCTTACACTCACTCAAGTGTATCAATTGACCTGGAGAATACAAACAACTCATATGTTGATTGACTTGGATCGTATCCCGAGCCAACGCTCTGATGATAAAGTCAGTGTATACTTCGAAATAAAATTGTAAAGATAGTCATGGAATCGATTTAGAGTGTGTAAAAGGTGTTGTATGCATACCTCATCATATTGTGTTTGATTACCTATTTATCATTAAAGG